CTGGCAGGGGCAGGACAGGTCACCGCAGGCCTCGGCCTGGCGGGAGCGCGTGGAGAGGAGCACGGCTGGTCGGCAGCCCAAGCGCCCGCAGTTTGATTTTTAGCTGGTTATGTTCGCGGTGAGGCAACGTGTAACCCAGCAGCCCCGTCCCTGGCTGTGCCGATTCCAGCCAGCTGTAATAAGTCACTTCCCACGAAAGCGAGCAGAAATGACTCAAACGCGTACAGTACTGCCTAATAAGTGTAAGATAAAACCTGAGGTAGGGTCTCGAGCAGTTATGAAGTCTTTTGAGTAATTGGAAGAATATGTGGTTTTTTTAAAGACACCAGATATTATTCCAACTGCTCTATTCTAGCATTGGGTATGTTTAATTTCGTATTAGAAGATTGTTTTGAAGAGGAGATCACTGTATCTCTGTATTTGAATTCTGTGGGCAAGAAGTTGCTTTTTCATCCCCTAAATGAATCCAGGATTTAAAATGAGTAGTAAATCACCAACAGTAAATGAAAGTGATGCTAAACATATTTCAGTAGCTTTGTATTAAGGTGGGGAATTTACATGGTTAGCAGTAGGATTTTTTGTTTTGTGATGCATAATCCTGGGCCCAGTCTCATGGCCTGTATTCATACACTACGAGTAAGTAATTCCGGTGATATTAGTCACCCGAGTGCAACTTGAAAGAACAACTTTCTAGATTGAGCTGTTACTCAAGCAGATGGTCAATGATTGAGGCAAAGCTATTTTGCTCAATAGTAAACTCTGTCTAGTGGATTAACACTTAAATTTTGTGTGTTTCACCCCTCTGGTTATACATAATTCCACCATGCTAAAAAATACCATACCATCTGTTTGGTACATTTAACTGTTTATACATAATACTGAACAGTTTTATCCAGCACTAACATACTCAAAAATCTCCATTTATAAATCAGAATTTTAAAATAGCCCAACTATCAAATGAATGAGATTGTTGTCTGATAGTGCATGAATTAAACCCAAGCCATACCCAGATAGAAATACACTGGATTTCTAGAATTGAAAGTGCTTCAATAATTAATTTCTTAAGAGATTGCAAAGCCAAAGCTCTTCAGACTACAACTGGAAGAATGCAGTTTTATTTCAAAAGAGCTTTCTGTGTGCTATATTTCCCATCCATGACTTTCAAGTGAGATCTCTTCATTTCCTGGTTATAAATTTTTTTTTCTAATTGTTGATCTGGAATGATTTATCTGGGATCCAAGCATTATATTGTTCCTATAATCCTCTTCACACAAACTACAATAAGAGGATTTTGCAGGCTAAATTTGTTTCGGCCTTCTTAAAATACTTCATTCCTTTCCGTAATGTTTATGAAATACTGTACGGAAAAACTGGATTATCCCTGAAAAACACATCTTAAAAAACATTTGACTTTTGGAAAAAGGACTGTGGTTACATTTGGAGGGACATATGTGCACTCCATCTACAGCAAGATTAGCCAAGCACATACACCTAGTAAGCTAACCAAATGAAAACAATTTGTTGAGTGTTTGTTTAGAGTAACTATATTTTGCTGATACCTAAGAAAGAAGTGTGATAGTGATATCCTTTTAATTTAGTGACTGTGCTGTTGAAACTCTTGATCCCTTTTTGGCAAAGACACTAGCTCTTGTACAGCTGGTTTGTTTTATTTAGCAAGCTTGCACATAAAGTAGGTGGGAAACAATGGCTAGAAATAGATTGCTGAGATAAAAATGAAGGGTATGATTTGGTCTGGCAGTTAAGGCGTGAGTATTAAGTCAAGTGTGCTTGATTCTGCTGCTTGTGCTGTTAAAGTAAAACTCAATTAGACATTAATGTCCTCTTAATGAGAATTTATTACAAGCTGGGGTTTTGGGTTTTTTCTACAAATGTGCTTTGCATAGTGGAATTATATTTTACATTTGTTCTGAGATATTAATTTCTTAACTAATGCAGTAATTAAAAGCCTTGATCATGAATATGATTGCACCTTTTCATATCCAAAGATGCTAGAATGGAATGGAGGCTTATTTTAAAAACAAACAAAACAGAAAGTATATCTGTCTGATCTTATTTCACTTTGTCTAAATCCTCTGCCAAAATATTACAGGTTCTGGTAGGTTTTTCTGGTTTTTATGGCTCATCAGCACGACAGAATAACAAGGGGAAAATACTTTAAGTTAAAATGTTCTTAGTTCAAATAAATACACTAAGCAGAAGTGCTTTGTTTGGGAGACAAAGCATTCTACACAATGCAGCAAAAATACTTAAAACTAGGGTTAGTTTAAAGCCATTACAGTGTCTCACCTTAGTCATGCTTTCTATCCACAGTGGCTTCGGACTAGCATGGAGCCTGCTGAAGTAAGATCAGCGTCTCTTTTTTCCTCATAAGTGAGATCTGAGGTCTCCTCTACCCTTGAGGAGGTATTGTGGAGGCAAGATGGCTGTTAAATAGCCAGAAATATCAGTAAGGCTAAATAAGTTGGTGTCACTAAATTAGTCTTTGTCACAGAGAGAGTCCTCAGGTTTGGAATTGGCAGGAGCCACACAGAGTCCTGGGTCTTGAAGTTGATACTCTTTTGAGATGCATGGTACAGTTTTACACTTGCCTGCAAAATTAAGTGTCGCTCAAAGCCTGGGGTTTGGTCTTCAAACACAAGGTCTAGAACCTTATTTCCATTTTAAAAAGGAAGTTCAGAATCTGGTAACATCATGAGACTGGGGCGCTGAGCATAGACACACTGTACTGGTGTGTTATTCCACCCCTGCTGTAAACACTAGCATGTATTTTAGCATTCCCTATAATCACAGTAAATGTGCAGTGACTCTTTGCAGGGCAGGATGACGCTTCTGAAGACTCTAAGAAATGTAATCGTAATTGTTTTCCTCTTTAGATGATTTTAAGCCAGCATCGATTGATACATCTTGTGAGGGGGACCTCCAAGTTGGTAAAGGAGATGACGTAACAATCACTTTGCCACATATTCCAGTAAGTTTGTTATATATGTGTCCTTGTTTACTCTCCAACAAATTTGCAATGTAGTTACAGTCTAATGTAAATGTTGTTTTCACTTTCATCTTTGTTAATACAAGTGGGCTCAATATTTGAGCAGCCAGACTTGTAGTGTGTTACCTTAGGAAAGGACTGTACAACTGAATCTTTGTGAAGGGTTATATTTGTGAGGTTCCAGTTTGTTCTTTACTTTTGATTCCTTCCTTCCTACTCTTCCTTGAATAACAAGAAGACTTTTACTGTTAGCTGAAGCTCTATACCTGGTTTCCATCCATTTTTAGTGCTATGGCTTAATGAAGAAAGGCAGAGTAATTTGGGCTTTAGTCAATGTTTGATGTTCAGAAGCCACAGGTAGGTCTGTAAGGATATTCTTCCTATTACTAAAAAATGTACAGATAGCGTAGAGGGTTCCCTGCCTTTAGCTTTATCAGTGGAAGCAAGGGAGATGGTTCTGGTGAGTGGCAATGAAGTGGTTTCCCATCCACTTCCTCCTCAAATTATGCCATAAAGATCTACTGTGTGAGGATGATGGTCGAACAGCCATAAAACAAGTGATCAAACTGTTTATAGGCGTAGCTGTTTTGTAATTGAAGGTTCAGTGGTTTCCTTACCAAAACAAAAGAAAGTGCTTGCATGCCGGAACCAGATTTGTTTATTAGCTGAAGCTAATGCTATGTGTCAAGCCAATAAACCAGAATTCACAGACATCGATGGGTTTGGTGGTTGCAGGGGGGTACCAGTCAGTTTGGAAGCCGTGTGTCAGATCCTTTTGGTATTGTTTATTCTAGCATGTTGGTGTTTTATCACAGTACCATCACCTACCAATTAAATTTGCACTGAATGAGGCTTTAGCCTGCTTCCCCCGCTCCTGTTTTTTATATGGCTTTGGTCACCTTTAGTGCTGCAGGAGGTCACGTACTGGTTTTTGTCTATAAAAATGATGAATGTGGTAGCGCTATTTGAGAGCAGGTAACAGTACGATTAATAGCAGTGGCATTCATCTTCGATCGACTGGGAACAGTGTTGTTCATTCATCTTTTGTGTTGAACAACATCACTTGTAATGTTCCTTTCCGAATCTCTGTACTGATGAGTTTAATTTGGTTGTCTTCCCATGAGTATGAACAGCTTTAAGCTTATAGTATGCTTCGGAGGCTTAGGCAGCTAACTGCACTAAATGCAGCCACCGTGCGTATGCTGTTCCAAGGCAGTGCTGCCTGTGTCCCAGACAGAGAACTGGAGAACACTGAGCATGCTGGAAAAGAGTGAGAAGTTTTGAGATCGTTTCATCCTGACAAGATTTACTGAATTTCTTGGATCCTGCTTTGCTTCTCAGTGGCCCAACAACTGGATAGTATTCAGATTCTAAGTTGTTTTTTGAAATTGCCTGGTCCCTGAGGATACCTCTGGTAATTTGCTCAGTGGAGGCGTTTTGGTGTCCCTTGCTGCTTGGATAAACTGAGGTACTATTTCTACACGTGAATTTAGTGGCTTTAATATTTGATAAACAGTCTTGGTTGGGGAAGTGAAGAATTTCTGTTTGTTAAAAAACCCTCACGCATTAAAAAAAATTGATTAAATGTCACCTGTTTCACCTACCTTCTTCTATACTGTAATCAGCAGAATCTGTAAGCCAGTGTTATTTAGGCACTAACATAAAACCTAAACATTTAATTTTAAGTAGAAGGGCGGGACTGTTAATTTGCTTAAGCAGGGTTCCATTTCTGCGTATTTTTTTAGCCAAAATCACAGTCTTTCCTCAGTTAGGAGGCTTCTGGGTAGCAGAACGATAGCCAACAAACTGATGAATTTTCATTGAATTTGTGCTTTACACATTTCTTGACTTAGTTGTCAGCAGCAAGCAGGATTTGACTTTCAGCTTGCTTTTTATTCTCTTAAATGTTGCTTTCCTCTCTTAAATGTAGGAATGATAAAAATGTAACATGCCTTTGAAGACCAGACTTTGTTGAGACATCTTTTCTGAATCCTATCTATATCTCTTACTGTATCTTTGTTGGGAATTCAGGTTTTTCTCCCTTACTGTTTTGAAGTCATTTTAAATTAAAACATATTCTATTTATTAGCAATATGGAGAATAGGAATTGCATTCTGAGTGGTTAAAATACGATTGTTCATTTTTGCTACTCAGAATGAAATGTAGAAGAGTGTATTTTTTCCTTTTCTCCCCGATTTTGGTTGCTTTCTTACAGCATGTGCAAAGGTGCACATGAATAAACTTTTTTTAAGTTTCTTTTGTACAGTAGCTATACGTTACAGAGAAGTCTGAGGTTTCATAGCTGAGAACATATTTCCGTATATCCCCTTTGAGTAACATGTCCTTTTTTGACATGGCCAGGTGTGTGTCCATACTGCTATGTGCAGATAGACCATAGATTCTGCCTCCTGTAAGCCCAAACCCAGGTGTATGAGCCAGCCTGCGCATCGATGCAGTACAGCTGAGCATAACCTCAGCAGCATCAGTTAGCCAGCGTGTACCACCACATAAGTTTGTCTTTATGGCTTCTCAGTCTAAGCCATTAGACTTTTATGGCTCTGTGCAGCATTGTGTGGACTTGAGGACTTTCTGGAAGGCGTCAAAATACCCCATTTGCTTTTCAGAAGGCATTTTGGCGTAATTGCATGGCATCTACATGCTAATCTGACTTTGAAGAAGGTAGCTGTTCTTACATAGTTTGTGACAGTTGCTTGTAATGCACTATGAAAATACTGTCTTTTTTTTTTTTTATAGATTAAATACAAAGCAGCTTAAACTATTTTTCAATTGACCACATATTTCTTTAGGCAACAGTTCTGCTACATGAATAATTAGAACTTTATTTCTTATCCAAACCCCAAGATTTCCAGAGCAGAAATGTCAAGAAGATTTCTGACACTTGTCAGAGCCAGCTATGCAAATTCAGCTATGCTACCATTTTGGGAATGAGAACTGTAAATAATGGCAACCATGGAGAAGATATTTTGTCACTGCAGAGACACTTAAAATGACGAAAGGCATAATATTGCTATGGGGAAACATCTGATCTACTGCATATAACTGTATTTTTCCCTTTTCATGAATGAACATTTTCTGTAGAAACTAAACATTAACTGCTTAGCCTCTTGGTCAGAATAATATATGTATTCATTTCTCTTAGTGTTTGTAAACTTTTGGGTAGGGAAATATAACCAAAAAAATGTGTGCTCTTTCTTTGATACCAGGGTTCAACTCCACCAATGACTGTGTTTAAAGGAAATAAAAGGCCGTATCAGAAGGACTGCGTGCTTATTATCAATCATGACACTGGGGAATATGTGCTGGAAAAACTTAGTAGCAGCATTCAAGTCAAGAAAACAAGGTAAAGCTGGGGACAGGGCTGTTGATAGGATTAATTCTTGCTGAAGTTTCTTCAGACTTTTGAACCAGAACTCGTCTTTTTATTTGTAGTGATGTTTAATTACTAAGCCTTATGGGCTTTACACGGCCAATTATCTTGCCTAAAAATGCAAATAGGAGTGTGAATCCACAAGTAAAGAATATGTAAATTCTCCACTGCTGAAAGGACATAATTATAGTTTGCAATTAAACACCTCTGATGATTTGAAGCTTTGGAATCTGGCTGAAGGATGAGATGTGTTTCAGGAATCTCTACTTAGCTGAAAAAGACCATGGAAATATTAGGCTGTCAAAAGGGTTGTTGGACTTTCTAGGTTTGTTCCCTACAGCTTCCTGTGGGAGTCATGATGCTTTAATAATATACTCTTAAGGAACAAGAAACACTCATCCCTATATTGGGTCAATGATATATAAAGTGGAACACAAGTCCAAAGCCTCCAGCTGGGGCGGGGAGGGAGAGAAAAACTGTAGAAATAATGGTTGTGAGGTTTTGCCTAGAAGAATTGCTGAGGCCAGAAATCCTCTCTGACCCAATATTCTTACTTCACTGCACAAATGCTACAAAGTGTACAGTTGGAACATTTTTAGTAGTCTTGCTGCTCTGCAAGTACTTGAACTCTCTGGATCACGTTCTTTCAGCATCACTGGACCACAGGTTATTGAGATCTAAAGACAAAGCAGTTATTCAAATGTCTCGTGAAGAAGCAGCTCTTAAATAATTTTACAAGTTTTGCATTAACAAAAAAGAAAAAACACTTTATCGCAGTGTAGAACTTTTAGCTGCTAAAACTACTAGAAATGTGGGTTGCAGCTCATCAGCAGTTGGCTGGAAGTTTACCAAGAACACTTTGAGTTCAAAATGGACCGTAACACTCCTCTGATTCAGTGATGTGAAAAGTCATCCATGTGGCATTCATCTTGTCCAATGGACATGAACACATCATAGATGAGACTTGAATTCCCAATTTAAGTTCTGCTGGACTCTGTCCAGGTGAAGCTTACATCAGAAAGGAGCAAAGAAGTACAGGAGGGCCTGGGTTCAGTGAGGTGTTTGGATCCACTGAGTTTTGGCTCTGGTGAGGTGAAAAATATTTCAACTTTTTTCAAGCAGAGGCAGGGTAGTAAAAAATTGGGGATCCCTGTTTTGAGGAATAGTGCTTTGCAAAGTCATTCAGTTTTCTGGATCAGAAGTGTCGTCTTTTTCATGGCTCCTTTGATCTTTAACAACCTGTTGACACTGTGGGAGCAGAGTTTTTAGCGTTAACGTCCTGATGACATTCGCGGTGGAGTAATTGCACTTACTCTACATAAAACCTTCTGTAGTTCCAAGAGCATAATTAATACTGGAAACAATCCTTTGCGTTTACCTTTCACATGATAAAGTATTCCCAAATCCTCACTTGTATTGTAAATGACTGTGTAAGCTGTATTAATGTGGTATCTAATAGCTGCATTTTAGCGATGAATTAAGACGTGGTTCTGTGCTTAATTTTTGAGGTTGCATCTACAATTCAATGGGGCAGAGATACACCTGAGTTAGTGCTAAATGTACTAGCTCAGATACCAGAAGCGGTTTAGGTGAAGTCCCAGGAAGTTCCATGTGGGCTAGTTTAACTTGTTTCTCGGCGAGATTAGCTCACAAGCACAAAGTGTAACATTGCTGATCTGGGACCCTCCTAGAACCGAAACTGCTCTAATACATGACTGTGTAAGCTGTATTAATGTGGTATCTAATAGCTGCATTTTAGCGATGAATTAAGACGTGGTTCTGTGCTTAATTTTTGAGGTTGCATCTACAATTCAATGGGGCAGAGATACACCTGAGTTAGTGCTAAATGTACTAGCTCAGATACCAGAAGCGGTTTAGGTGAAGTCCCAGGAAGTTCCATGTGGGCTAGTTTAACTTGTTTCTCGGCGAGATTAGCTCACAAGCACAAAGTTTAACATTGCTGATCTGGGACCCTCCTAGAACCGAAACTGAGCTCTAATACCACATAAGCTGCTTCTGTGCTATGCTACATAAAGCCATAACCCCCAAAGGCTTTGGTGTTACACGATAACTACACCACACATTTTAACCTCATTATGGTGTACCATAGAGGGACCTGTATAAGTATTTTGTTTCGGGGTTCTTTTCTGCCAAGGATATTGACTGTTCTACAGTCTGAATCACATCATTGATTCAGTAAAAGGAAGAAGTACCTGATTTGATTTGAACAGCTAGGCATAGCATTACTCTGAAGACGATTTCCCACTAAGGAAACAGCTTAAACTATTTTTAAGGGATAATAGCAAATGAATGAAAAACAGGAATTAAGTGCTTGCATGCTGTATTTAGCAGTAAGAATGATTGCTCTAGTCAGGTTAACCTCTAAGAGAGTTTGGTTTGAGATTATTTAATTGCAAGTGAGAAAATTGTTTCTTTTGCTGTGATTGTTTTAAGCAGGATTTTGTTATGAGTGGATTTGTTTTATCATGTAGTTGCTTTAAATTGCTATGATTGCTTATTCTTCTTTAAAAATACAAATACTAATTGCTAAATTAAAGCCTTCATTGTTCTTCAAGTAGAGAATTTGGCACCACTGAACCACATCTGGATTTGAAAATACATTTTGTAAGGGTGTTGCAGTGTAGTTGTATGTGTTGCAGTGTAGTTGTATATGTATATTTGCTATTGGAAGCAAGCGTTGCGTACAGAAAGCTGTAATTCACTGTTTATCTTTATAAAACAAAGTAGAGATCTGTACAAAAGGAAGTCACAGATGATGCATTAGTGCAAGCATATTGAAAAAATGGAACACAGTTGCACAGTACTGCTGAATATCTCTGGTTGTTTTTTCAGAGCAGAGGGCAGCAGTAAGATCCAAGCCCGAATAGAACAACAGTCTGCCCGAGCATCTCAGCCTCCTTCACAGTTCAGAGCCCCAACCAAGCCAGCAGTTGGACCTAAAACTTCTCCTCTGAAAGATAATCCTTCACCTGAGCCTCAGCTGGATGACATTAAAAGAGGTAAAGAAGGGTTTGTAGTTTCCTGGGTTTTGGTTGGTTTTGTCTTTCTTCTTTATAATAAAAACCGTGACTGTGCAATTTATAAAAACATGTTAGAATGTTCCGGGATTAAAAGATGGTACTTGACAGCTGGTTTGTCATCTTTATATCTCATTTTAAGGCATCTTAGTGAATTATTTATTCTCTTCTGCCAGCATAGATATTTCTCTGGCATGAGAGAACTTCCTCTTTGTGGATAATTTTCTCTCTTCCAAACTATTTCTCTGTTCTGAAAAGACGACAAGCATGAATTCAGAAACCTGCAGCTGAGTGCTAGACGAGTTGAATGGGTGTCTTAGGCAACAACAACAAAAGCTAATGGTCCAAGATCTAGTTATGCAATCGAGTAACTTGGACGAAAGTTACTCCTGCACTGAGTAAGGTTGGAGCTATTTGCCAGTGGGACGGAAGGGCTGGGTGGCCGTGCCCCCATCACAAGACGTGGAGTTTGTGCCATGCCAAGCAGTGCTAGTAGGGGAGGGATGAGAGAGTGAACAACCCTGCAGCTTCCCCTTTACCACAGCCACTGCTCTGCAACTTTGATCACATCTGCCATATAGTTTATTAAAGTACCTTGAAGGGATGACTGGCTCAACTCAGTCTCCTGCTCAAGCAACGCTTTGGCTCAGTGTTTTGCTGCGGGCGGGGTGCACTTTCTTTGTGATATCTGGTTTTCCTGTGGATAACACAGTCAGAATGAGGAAGACTTTAAATTCAAATTTTTATTTGGTTCTCTTGTGTTTCTTGTCTGGCACCAGACGCAATTTTATTTTAAGATTGTTCTTTCTGTCTAGTTTTTTTTTGCCAGGTCTTTCTTTCTCTTTTTTCCTCTGTCCCATATAGCTATTTTTGCCTGTAGACTTAGCCTATGTTAATTGCCCAGACTATGTTAATTACTTAGCAGGGTATTTTTTCAGTTCATGGTAATCACTAGGTGACATTTTTACTGTTAAGCTATCTGTGTGTTTGCATAGGTGCTGACTGGTCTCACTCTTTCGCAGCAGTAGTATTTTCAATACCTGGATGCTGGTCAGCAGACAGAATCAACGTCTGAGAGTCTGTTAGCTACAGTTCCCTTAGCTGCATTGCCATTTTTATTTTCTGTGTAATAGGTAAGGAGAAAGATAACAGGTGATACATTAATTTAAAAATTTAATCAGTTGTGAATTTTAAATGTCTTTTCTTGTGGTGTGTAATAAGTTACTTAACCATTGGGGCATTCTTTTATATACATACAGCTATTTGTAAAGGTCTTTATAGTAAAATAATTACATTTGTCTAATGTGACAACTAGTCTACAAAGACCATTTTCTAGTGGTCTAAAATACAAGTTACATTGTTTAGAACTGTCTTAGTAATTTTTTGCCACCTGATCATCTTTTATTGGAACGTACCTTGAAATAAATAACCCGTAGAGTTTTGTTTCCAAAATCAAGCAAAAGAACACCTGGCTTGTACTAAAAATAGTACTTCGAGTTGGTGTTTTATAGAGAGAGTCATTCAAGGCCCAAAAAGAGAGAGTGCAAATACCTGGGCAGGGGGTTTTTTGCTTACAGTATATACTCTTTATAACTTTTTTCCAGCATTGATTATCTAGAGCGTCAGCATTACTAAACCATTTATATCATAAGAACCTACTTGGGAAAGGTAGAACTAAAATGGCACCATCGTACAATGAAAATAATGAATAAAACTTAACTGTAAAAGCTGTGAGAGAGTCTTCAGTCCTGTTATCTTCCCTTAATGTGTCTTTTTATGAACAAAGACTTGTAAGTTCTGAAGAGACTGTGTTCTTTCCATTCAACAGTAGCTTTCCTTTTGGGTGAAGTACCCCCTTTGTACAAAAGAAAACATAAAGCTGAAATTCCATGTTTTTTCTTTAATGGACACAGCACAGAACTTACAATCCCCAAAGGCGGTGGTTGAAAGCATCTCTGGCACTATGACATTCTCTTGCTCCCAGTATGCCCTACTTAAGGGTGTGGTAAGACACACAGCCCTCGTGATGTTTAACAATAGTTTTACAGTAACCTCAGTACAGGTTTCTGCTTTCCCCCGGTACCCTCAGCTGTGCATTCCCATAGCTCCCCTTACAGATGAGCTGGGAAACAAACTTTCAGGTAGGTCAGTTCTCTGTCCCATTACACAGCTGTCCAAACAACAGTGCTTGAGGACAGATTCAGAGCACGTGGGAGTTGAACCAGTCCTTTCCTTCATGCAGAGAGGCCTTTGGGAGGCTGTGTCTAGGGTCCTGCACCAGAGGAATCTTCTGCAAGCTTTTATATTGTCCTCCTGCCTGAAGGGAGCAAAAGAGAGAGTAAGAGCTTGTTCTTTTGAATACTTGGCTACATCTGATAACATTTCATTAAGCGGTGAACATTTGCACACATATACCACAATGCAGCCATTTATGTGCATGAAATAATCGGTGTTTATCAGACATATTTGACCACAACAGAAATGTTTTTAATAACATTGACATTATACCCGCATGCCGTACTTGAAAAAAAACCACAGAAACATATTTCTGGTTTGGAGACTGTAAATTCAGTGCTTAAAAATCTGAGCAGATCTTGTTTACCTAAAATGCAGCTGTAGTCTATAAGGATTATGCCATAGCACTGTGTTTGTCTCTCAAGAACATCTCAATCAAATTTTTTGCACTTCAATGTAAAATACTGCCTCTTCTAGCTGCAATCTCCGCATACTCGAAGTGCCAGTATCAAGTTGATTTCTCTCCACCTTGCATACCATTATTAACAGTGAGCACTCTGCTATGGGCATACAACCTTATCCTCCCTAAAGCTGAATTACTTTATTTCCAAAAGTCCTTGGTATTTTTGCAGCCCAAGGTTAGGGCTTTGGTTAAAAAAATCTGCATAGCCTATTGGAATTGAGAGAAGAAGTAAGAACCCTTAGGTATGATTATGGAAAGAAATTAGGGCATTTGATACTGAATATATACAGAAGACAGCCCTGTTGAGAAAGGCTGTTCTGATTGTATAATGATACCTGACCTTGAATCTTTTTTACTCTAAATAAACTGCGTTGACTGACAGTATGAAACAGTAAGCCGTTTTGTTTTCTTGAAAGAAAGCCTACAGTTGTAACATGAAATGTGCAAAAGGTAAGGTTCCCCTAGCAATGTCAGCTTTTTCAGATGATGTAGACTCAATTAAGGCAAGTGTTCAAAACTATACTATATAGAAAGCTTTTTTAAAAGTAACTGCTGCACATCCTAACTCTTGTCATCTTTTAAACCTTAAAGGCACATCAACATGAGGCGTTTGATCTTACGGCGCAAAAAGATCTGGGAAAGGTCTGACTCCTTCATTGTTCAGCTTAGCGTATATGTACGCATATGCACACACAGCTATTTTAATTGGAGGCACCACAAGGAAATGTTTAGCCAAGGCTTCAGTACCTATAAATCTGCACTAAGCATAACAGGCAAATAGGAAAATGCAAGATCGGACAATTTTAAAGCAGATGTGTTTTTCCTACAAGGCTTTGGTGTCATCATTGGCTTAGCCACCGTCTTTGACAGTGTGACACAAGAGGGTTTTGAACAGACTTCCTTAGTGTGGTCCTGCTGGAGTTCTGCCTGACAGACTTTTAGCGATGCAGCAGCCACTATAACATTAGTGAAAACAATTACTTTTTTGTCATCTGCACAGACGAGATGTTTAGAATTCTGGGCTCAAGGAATTAAGAGACAAGAGAGACCTGAGGGGAAGCTGACAGCCTGTGAGGCAAAAGTTGACTAGAAGATGGGCTCAGACCAAGTTTCCACCAGTGACCACTGTCACTGATAACCCCCTTAACTTCCCAGACCTTGAAGCTTGTGATAGTGGCGCTGTTTTGCTTTTCCTGCCTGTATTCAGCATAGTGGGCCTTACCACTTCTTCCAAGGCATTCTCCCTTTCCCTCCTCATAACCAAACCTCTTCTTTGGGCTCTTAGTTTTCTGCTTCCCCGGCAGAAAACCCTCACTTTTCAATCTGACACTAATCTCTAATTCTGTTTAAAATTAGCCAGGCTAATCTTCCTTTCCCATTCGTCAGACTGCCTCACTTCCTTCCTTCAGTTATCTCATCGCCTACTGTATTGAGTTCAAACTTCTTGTTTAGATTTTTTTTTTCTAGTTCTCTGGATTGCGTTTCTTGTTGCATCTTTTCCCTTTCACCACCAATGCCTCTTAGATCGCTTCACCTTCTTCACACTATTTTATGTGCTGCTTTCTGGGCTGCTATGTTCTTCTCAGCCCGTGTGCCAACGCTTCTCCATTTCAGCCATAGACTCTCTAGCTCTGTAAGCATATGTGTGTAATTCTCAGACACTTGTCCTTTATTAGACTTGTTTATTGTATCTTTTTGCAATATGGAGTGTGGTCTATAGGTGATTGTGCTTGCTGCAATCCAGGATATTCTAACAGTGTATTATTATCATCACTATAACTTACAACTAACAACTCCATCACTAGAAGTATGTGGAAATTTTACATCATTAAGCTAGAGGAAAAAAAAATTAAATCTGGGCATTTTAAAGGGAAAGAACCCTTATTCCTGTTTAACTTTCCTTTAGCTTTTGCCTATGAATTTCTTAGCCCTGAACACAGGGAACATTTACAATTTGAACTCCTCGATATGGGTAGGCTGAGAACAGTGACTTACAAGTGCTCATTTGCCTGTGTATCAGACTCCAGGCATGAAACGGATTTTTAAAGCCTGCAAGGCTGTGTTGGGAGGGAATAAGGGAGAAAGACATTACAGTACAAAGTAATATCTTCTGTTGGCCTAATCATATATTCTTCCTCCCTCTTCCAGTGGTCTCTTATGCTATGTCTTCAAGATGAAAGAGTAAATTTTACCTGGCATATGAATAAAGTACAGAGGACACAGACAGTTTAGTCAGGGATCTAGATTTAGGAAGTAAGTTGGAGGAACAACCCCACTATCCTTAAATACCCAGCTGGAGTTAGTCATATGGTTGTTTCCTTTCAATACACCTTCCTTGTCTCTGATTTAATATAACTAATTACAGAGGACACAGACAGTTTAGTCAGGGATCTAGATTTAGGAAGTAAGTTGGAGGAACAACCCCACTATCCTAAATACCCAGCCTGGAGTTAGTCATATGGTTGTTTCCTTTCAATACACCTTCCTTGTCTCTGATTTAATATAACTATAGCATTTGAAATTGAGCTCTGAACTTTGAAATTGAAAAATAGCAGTTTTAAAACCAGCAAAAGAAAACTTGATTTCTCAAACCTATACAGCTGACCGAGAGGAACTCTCTCCAGCAAATAATGTGGAGGCTGAAAACTTAGCTGTTACTCTATAGTAACATTATTTGTTAGGTGCTGTCGCGGTATTCCAGTGTTTCTTTGCACTGGAAACGCTGAAGTGGGGTGTGTCTGACTTGAATAACTTCCCAGTTTCAGAGTAGCGTCTGTATTTTCCTGGCTATTTGTAAGCTCTGTAGCAGGTTAAGGTGTTATTACCACTCCCCAACATGTGAATATTCTCAACTATTCTCATCTGCCCCACTGCAAAGTTATCTGATGTCATCCATCTGCTTCTGAAGTTTGTTTAAATGAGTTGTGTGACTTTGCGCTGGAGCAGTTTCATACATTATCTGAAGTCAAGGCAGTTTCTGTTATGATCATGTGCCTATGCCCCCTGGCCCCATTTTTGTTTTCCAAAAGCCTAAATGTCACTGAAATCTCACAATTTAGATTCCTCCAGATTAAGATGCTTTTAAAAAATGGGCTGGCTGCTGGCCTGTAAAACTCAATCAGGAATCATAGAATCGTTAAGGTTGGAAAAGACCTCTAAGATCATCGAGTCCAACCGTCAACCCAACACCACCATGCCTTATGTACTTAAATATGCAATGTACTTACTTTGTATGTAGAGCGCATAACCTGTTGAAAATAATGAAGCAGGAAGTGCTTTCAGGAGTATAAAGTATATAAGTAATAATAGTGGAAGTGAAGGTTTTATGATACTAACCTATGCTGTTGCTTCTTTAAATTTAGCTACAACAACTAAGTAAAAAAGTTTTCAGAATTTTTTGGTTTTCCTTCCTGTCTCTCTCTTTCATGTGAGATATTTTGATGTGATAAATTATACTTGACAAAACTATTGCGATTTCACATTCTTTTCCAAAATTCCATGGGGCCCTGTTTATGGTTTCAACCAGATGAATGTCCTTTTATTTCAGAGCTGAGAGCAGAGGTTGAAATTATTGAGCAGATGAGCAGCAGCAGTGGAAGCAGCTCATCGGATTCAGAAAGCTCATCTGGGAGTGAAGATGAAAGCTCCAGCAGTGAGGGGGAAGAGCCAGCACATGTTTCCCCCTCCCAGCCACCGCACCAGCAGTATAACAACAGGAATGCTGTTGCTAACGGCACCAGCAGGCCACAAGGAAGCAATCAGCTCATGAACACGCTCCGTAAGTAAAGGCTTGCGTCTTATCGCTGTGGGAAGCTGCTTGAGACCACTCATTTTCTTAGCATGTTAGGCTAAATCCATGAAGTGCAGTTTGCCAAACAGTAATCCTAGGGAGTTGCACTGGCTGAAATATGTGGGCAGGTTTTTTGAACAGAGGGCTGAGATCTATCTGAAGGTATGGAGATTGCTACAGTCTGGTCTAGAGCCTGTGGGCATCAGTGCAAGGGCCCCCATTGACTGTGCTGAGCCTTGATTCAGGCCTCCAGGTGGAATGACTGGGTAGAAAAGCATCAGTGTGGGAGGATCTGGTGCACCAGAGGATAGGAATTATGTGAAAACACAGGTTAGACATAAATAGTGGGGTTGTCACGTGTGTCAGTTAAAGGATTGTGAATGGCACAAGGCTGTCCTGTGGTCATAAATGCACAGTCTCTGTGATCTTCATTATTAGCTGTATTGCTTTGTCAGAGTATTTGGTCTATACTGTGTTGGTCTCAGCTGCATCTTCACAAATATCACATTTCAAAGGGAAATTTAAAGTGCCATGTATTTGTTTAAAATATTACAGCTATGGCGTTTGCAAGCATTGAATCAGTACAAACTCACTCCACCCTTTTAAAAAGTGTAAAAAATGTTTTTAAAGCGTAGTTTTGTCCCATGAGACTGCGTCTGGGAAAATGGTGTATGTCTGTGTTGCTCTTTCCTTATGCTAGATCAGGTATATTCTAACTCAGTGGAGTTAAAATACTGCATTTACAAGAAACTAGAACTTAGTTATCATAAATTGTTCTTAATTCCTCCTGAGGTATGTTTGCGTATGTCTCTTGGCACCCACACATAGTGAACTGGTGGAGTTTAAATACAGATAAATGTAGGGTTTCCAGCTTTGAGAAGACAAGTATATTATACAGACAATACTGAAAAGGCCTGCTGGAAAACTGGAGAAGCCTGTCAGTCTTCCTGTCAGTAATGAATATCTAAATGAAATCCAAAGTTCAACAAAGTCAGTAGGACTCTTTCCATTTCCCTGTTTCTGGTTGTGAGCTGCCTCTTCCCTGCTTCTCCTGGGCCACAACAACAATACTGCATAGGTCGTTGAATGTCAAGAAGCCTCTGACTCCAGGAGAATCTGGGAACTGGTAGCCTAGCTCCTTTTTTCAGGCAATGATTTTTGCCTTTGGATTTAAAATCCTTTTGCCAAGGATTAATATGTCCTTGAGCACTGAAGTCACTGGTGACCATCTACATGGGGAGAATCACCCCCAACCCAAGTGCTTGTTTCATAAAAGGGGAGAGGAGATGAAGAAATCCAGGGCATAGCCGCTGCATAGCTGCTCTGCAGCTGTTTGGGGCAGGGCCATGGGAGAATGCTGGAAGAGCTAGGTTCACTTACCAGAACACAAGCATGATTCTTGCCCCTTTTTATCCCCTCCACCTCGCCAAATCACAAGTGCTCTGCCAAACAGGGTCTGAGACTGCAGGTTTGGTCCATATCCTGGCTGCCTTTTGTCTGATCTCTCTTTGCACTTTGGAGGGGGGCCTTCACTGTCACAGCATGTGTCAGCTTAGTTCAGCCGATAGCCTTGAGTTGCGACGGCTTTAACATTCCTTTTGGTTTATTGACATGTGGAGGCCTTGCCTTGGCTACCCAAATGGCCTTAAAACAAAAAAATCTATTTTAAAAGGGCCGAGAAAGCCAGGGAATTCCCCAGTGCCTTGTCCCAGAGCCATATACGGGAGCTTGGCTGGGTGGAGGCTGTGGGATGCCTTTCGCAGCTGCTGAGGTGGGGAGTGCTGTTCTCCCACTAGGGAGCAGCTTTGGTGGCTGGGGAGCCAAGGACGCTCGGTTTGGCCCGCATCCGACCGTGTATTAGCCCCATGCAGCTCTTAATGTTCTTGGACATGGGGAGCAGTTCCATTAAATGACAGATGATATTTGCGTTCATGTCTTGTGTTATTCTTATTTAAGTCTTCCAGTGTAAATGTGACTGTTCTTTGGTTTGATTGCCATGAAATGTGAATTAACGCCTACCCACTTGTTGTGTTTTGTTGTTTTTTGTTTTCCATAGGAAATGACTTGCAGTTGAGCGAGTCTGGGAGTGACAGTGATGACTAGAGGCTGAGCTTTTGCTGTTTCTGTTACATATACATGAAGAACTAATTTACCTTGAAGTGATCCTATTGCTTACGAAGAGGAGCTGGCACAGAGATAGTTCCATGTGTGGAATTTTAATAGAAGAAATGCATAGCCCTACAAAATAGCAGATGTTGAGGGCTGTTTTACTTTGTGAATTAAGTGTATATTTTGTGTATATTCTTATTCTTTTAAAGCTTTGAGTAGATATGTACAGTGGGTAAGCCAATATATGTTCCTATGTTCCTGTCCATCATCTGTAAGTTTAATATGTAACTTTATGATGTCATCTAAAAATTTCTTTGTTTGTAGAAGATATTCAGCCCATCATGACTTTGGGGGGGGACTTTTGTATATAGCATGAGTATGAGCCAAGAATGAGTTTAAAAAAACATGCAGGAGCTAGTGTGTGCACTGAAGTGGGACTCATAAATTAAGTTTCAATGCTAAGTTGATTTCTTTGGTTTGGGACTTTTCTAATGTCTTTTTATTGCTATTTATGGTTGATTTAATGGACTTACTTTTAAACAGTTGGAAAAGAAAATCATAAAACCATGTTCGTCACAAACCTTGCTGCATCAGTGCCTTATAAGCAGGTTTTTTTAAGCAGAGCTTCAATTCCTGCCGCGTTTTATAGGGAGCAATACTGAAACCTCTTCAGATTGCTTTTGCAAACAAGAGCTGTATTTCACATACAGCCGACAGTACTCTGAGGGTAGTTACTCTAGCAAGATAAAGGATATACATCAGTCACCTGAACATGTCCAAATAAGAACCAGATCAGCATTTTCTTGTGCAACTGAAGTGTCTCATTTAACTCGGACATTCAGCCTGAGGAAATACTAGGAGCCCAATTACTAGTGTAATTGCAATGTCACAAATACAAGATACCGGGCTTACTGAAATTGTAAGACCAGACCCTGTCTGCAGTTTCCTAGAGAACGCAGAAGGAAGAGATGACTAAACAATTGTGAAACAGCAGACGTCTCTCTCCCACCACAGTTGTCTAGGTAGACTTTAGTTCATGTTGTTTGTTGGACGGGATCTCTGTGCTTGGCAGGATTATACAGAACATGAAATACTTGCCTAGGGTGAAATTCACCCCTGTTTAAGGGGGTATAAAGGGTGCCTAGTTGGATTATCATTAACTTTTTTTGCTCGCATGGAAAATGAGTGCCACAGGCAGCCTCTTACAGCTTGAACACCAGGCTGACTTTTTAAAATGAAAATTAAACTGGCATAGGACAAGTGGCGCTGTAGTTGTGGTGTAATCCAGGGGAATGGGAAGCTGAATTGGATGCCTCTCCCTTCTTAAGTGTCTGCTTTGCACTGCTTTTGTCTGTCTGTTAGTTTGTGTTTTAACTCCTGTTTGTTTACTGAGCTCTTTCCTTTTTTTTTTAAGGTGTTGAAGAGCAAGGGGACATTTGAAGGGAGATTTTATTAAATGGTTTATTTTTTTGCATTAGATACATATTTAGGCATATTTTTGCATTATTGTACATACATTTAAAAATACTTGGTTTTTTAAAAGTGTTTTATGATGTGGGTACATATTTTAACAGACAATTATGAAATATACTTGATGTAAAGCCACAATTGCTCTCCTTTTTTTTTTCTTCTCTCCCCCCCGCCCCGTTCCTCCTCCGACAGTAAAAGTGCTCTGTTCTAACAAGCTTGTACCAATTTGGGATTTTACACTTTGGTGCAGGAGACCCGCATGGTAGTTGGCAGTCTAATTAATGCTAATACTGCTCCTGACTTTTCCCCAGCTTAAGATTTGAATAAGCAGGGAGACATTTCTCTGATGCTATTTCCCCGTTACTGGAGCTTATCCCCGAGTTCTGTTGACATTATTTGCACTTAAATGGAAAAGCAGCAGTGCAGCATTTTCAGTGCATATCATTCACTGGCAGCTTGTGCATTCTAAAATCCAGGACATGTCATAGGAAGTTTACTAATTATGTGTAAATAAAATATATGAAACTTAAGAGGACAAGACTACACCAGGCTACATTGATTTGAATCGCCAATTTAATTATGGTTTAGATCAGCAAGTGGGAAAGCTTCATTCAGATAATCAATTTCTGCCTTGTTTTGTATTTGTACTCTAGGTCACGTTTCCCTGCTATCCCTCCCTAAAAGATTTCTTCCCCTCTCTGTTGGTAACGAAATGGACATTTTTTTCACACAAATTACATACGGCTTTCAAACGACATTTGGCCATCCTCCATGCCCCCTGGAGATGCGTTGCATCAAGGGTGGCCAACCTGTTCGTGAGCTGTTTAGCTGCACATCCCACACCCAGACTACAGCATCTGGCTGTCCATGGGGCTGGTGAGTAACGCAGTGGCCCGCAGCCTGCTCGTGGGTGCAAGCAGGACAGTCCCTATGCGTGTGTGACCAGCCCGTCCCCTCCCTCCCGAGCGGCTCCCGGCACCTCCTGCCAGAGCAGCTCTCTGGGATCTCCACCTTTCCCACAGCTCTCACAGGTACGTGGCATGTGTTTTGTGAAGGTGAACCATGTGGAGACTTTAGTGGGCGACTGGTAAGATCAGAAAGGGTGGCTGCCACATTTTTTCCTTTTTCTAAATACACTTGAGTGTGTTTAAAGCCATTGCCAGCCTGACATTTTGATTGGGGCTCTTAAAATTTTGTTTCATATATTAAGAAATAGTAAAAGTTGTCTATCAGTTCCTATTAGATGGTTGTTCATTTGTTCATGATTTGCGGCAAGTTTTATTCAGATGGAAATTGGAATTCAAATTACTTGCAGAAAAGCAGTTATTTAGAATTCTTTTAATTAGTTGTTAAATATCTTTAACATGCTGGAGAAGTAAGTTGACTATGTTCTTATTAAACCTGGTAATGAAACAAAGTATTCCTAATTATTCCTGTAATCCTGCAGGATTTTAGCACTAGAGGATCTTGCCACCTTACGCTACTTTTCCCACATAAAGTAGGAACATCTTTTATATGCCAATTAGTTTAAAAGTGAATTAACAGTGCATATGGAATGCAATTATCTGAATGAGCTGAAACTAAGTGAATATTTCTTTGCATTCATGGGAAGGCTGCCTGCTGGCTATGGCGAGGTTAGCAGTTCAAGGCAGCTTTGGTTTCTGATGGTTTCTTCTGTTCAGTGACTTCATCCGTTTCAGTGGTTTGACGTTGCTTAAAACTTCAGCAGCAAACGTGGCCTGCTCATGACTTTTCCCATAATCAGAATTGCTCTAGAAGTAATAGTCAATAACGATTTAAATTTATTCAACTAGATTGTCATAATTTCAACTATAGTTACTAATTTTTTAAAATAAAAAGGTTTTGTTTCAAAAAGGACAGGTTCAGTCACCTGCTTGCCCATCTTGGACACCTTAGAATACGATTGCAGCAATGCCCAAGCTGGTGTTTCAAATTTCAGTCCTGTGCAGAAAAGCTTCCACCCACCTCTGCCCTTGTTCCACCCCCGAGGGCCGACCAGCCCTAGGAGCAGGCACGGCTTGGCTCACTCCAGCTAAACCACAAGGCACGGTCACCTCCGGGCGAAAGGTGTCCCAGTCCTCTGACGAGAGTCACACGTTTGTAAGAGCGCACAGCACGACCCTCTCGTGTTCCACGAAAGCATCCCCCTCCTGTCATAAGTCTTGGCTGAACCGATTTTGTGGAGAAGGCAGACTGATAGGAAAACGTTTGTTTTCTTCAGCATTGCTTGGAATAGCTTGGAGCTTAACTGTGGGTAGTACATCTGTTTTGAAGAGTCTTTGCCTAAATTCATTTGCACCGTGTGCTTTGTTGCAGACTAGCTATATGCCTGTTTATAGCTACGTATAGAAACAGTTTGCTGTGCAAAGCTTTATAGTCTTTTTTCCTCCTTCAAAGTCCATTTATTTGAATAAAAAAATGAAGTTCAACAATCTATGCATGTCTGGTTTTTTTACTTTTTTTTAATTTGGAAACTAAGAGAAATGTAGCCTGGAATTATTTGTAATGGAGAACACTTATTTTCGGTAATTGCCCGCGCTTCATTGTTCAGCGTGCTATGCGTTTCCTGCTAGCCGCTGAGTCAGAGAGATCCTATGGAAAACACAGCTGCCCAGCAATGGGCATCTTGATGGGATGAAGGCTTCTGCTGGTAACTCTGAGGGTCTCGGGTTCAGCTGAATCTACCTGGTTATTTACAGGTTTTTTTATGCACACATAAATACATGTAACATCACAGGAAAATAAGCATTGCTGATGCTTGCCTTAAAAACAAAAGCTGCGGTGTTGGGGAATTGTTGGGACAGACGTGAATTCAAAGTAGTTGATTGTTATGTATATTGTACACCCAAACCTGTTCTCAAAAGATAAGCTGATTAATGAACTAATAGTTAGCTGGTAACTACCTCTGGTTTATGTGAGAAGGGTGTGTATATAAATCGAAAGGTTATCGGTTTAGCTATTTCTCCCTATTCCCACTGCTTACACTCCCTTCCTTTCTTTCTTTTGTAATTCCATTATTTCTAGCACATGAATGCTTTCTGCCGCCAAAGTCCTGCAGGAATTTACAGGAAAGGGGGTGGGTGTCGAAATGTTACAAATGGATTAGCTGTATTCGCCCTTGCTCTAAATTCATTGTAAATGACAAAGACCTCGTGAATGGACCCATCTTCCTCCCCCTCCTTGGCTTTGCCTTTACTGGGACTAAACACTGTCCCTTTGGACAGCAAACAAACAAGTGGTGGGATGTCAGAGGATGAAATACCTCAAACTGCTGCTGCCTACATTGAGGATGCTCCCTAGCAAAGCCATGGCCTGAGCTAGCCTGACTTGACCTCGCAGCATCGTTGCAAATAAAACACAAAATTCATTGCTACCATTGCCCTGTGGCTGGGAGGAGAGAAGTGGAGTTGGGAGAAAAAGTGGATTAAAAATATCTTGCTAAAGGGATTTGCGCAAGAGTTTTGGTGAGATGTTTGGCCCTGCTAAGTTTCATTTAGCTCTGCCAGTGAGTTTTTATGTGCTGTGTGTAGTGGGGGAGTCCCTGTCTCCCTGACTTTTTGGGCAGATGCTGGTGGAAGCAGGGGCTGGAGCAAGGCTGACATGTTTTTTCTCCATGTGCTGTTGGATTCAGTTGAACTGTGTGTTTTAAAAATGGCACTGACAAGCTAAATGAGACAATTGATGGGATGTCTTGGAAGGAATCATATGAATTTGACCTGAAATCCCACAGAATCTGTAGGTTCTGGTACATCTGCCAGTGATCTTAACTCTCCCAAACTTTTGTAAAAACAGGGCTTTCTGAAGGGCAGAGTGTAAAAATGCACTAAATATTGTATCGAAGATTTTGCATGAAAACTTTGACCTGCATTTCTTCCCAGACCAGCTCGCTTTGTTGTAGGACCCTGTGCAAAAACCTTTGAGGCACACTTGTACAGGGCCTGGTCAAGTAAGATATAATTGTCCACCTCTTTGCAACCCCAGCCGGCCCATAAATTCTGCCATCACCCCTTCGTAACTTGGGAGTTGGCTTTTTCCTTCGTAGCTCTGATAGCTCCTTAACATTTTCCGACTGCCAGACATTATAATCGCTAACGAAAATAAACAAGCATCTGCTGTTGAAAACAGCGATTAAATATTTCAGTGAGCAGCATGGGTTTTACTCCAATGCTTCAAATAAGTCTCAGGATTGTGACAGTCTGCTAGGAACACAAAGCCTGCGATACAAGACCTGGATGCTGATCACACATAAGAAAGGTGGCCAAAACTTTGTAAGCGTATGGGACGCATACCAACATTTTCAGTTACACCAGAGCCACAGGCTGTGCCCCGTGAGCGTTGGGAAGCTGAATGGGAGGAGAGGTTTGGGAGTGGTTTGCACAGAGGAGATGACAGCAGGGACACTGATGGGACTGAGGTGGAGGGGACATGAAGGTGAATGCCCATCCAGTAACACCAGCCACAGGGTCCCGTCAGCCAGCTCACACCATAGCCCCATAGCAGCCCAGCACAACCAACATGAGAGGTCACTGGCATAGAGGAGAGGCTTTGAATGCACTGAGACATGCTGGTTGTTGTCACCCTCTCCTTTATGAAGTATATTTAGGTATGCAGTCGTTGCGTAATTAGGGAAGAGAGCTGGTCCCTTGGGTCTGGATGGCGGAGAGCGAAGGCAGAAGGGAAGGGTAGGGATGGGGACCACTGAGCAGCAGCAGGCTCTGGTGGTTCCCTGCTCTTTTCAAAGGGGAGCTAGTGGTCTTAAGTCAAGGGAGATCACCAGTTCCCACTGGGAGAAAAGATACTGATTGAACCTGACCCCCAGAAGTGAGTGGGCACTTCAAAAACCAGCTCTGTGGTAACCCTGTCTTACTCCAAATTAATTCTTTCAGGCTTATGCAAAAGACTAAGGTGCTTTACCTCAGGAACGGAGCCAGATTTTTGTTCCATGCTACTGAGGCTGGACTCAGCATCATAAACAAACTGGTGTAAACAAGAAAATAAAGCCCCTGATTAAACATGAGCCAATCAAGATACCTGGTTTGGTGGTTAGTTAATCCAGCCAGTGAACTCGCTTCCCAAATGCCATCAAGAGATTTTAAGGTGCAGTAAATACGCTGT